ACTAATTTTGCAATTTCATTAGATGTAATTATTGCTACACCGTTTTTATTTTGAGTGCCTTCATCTCCAGAATAGAATACTGTATAGTTGCCCATCACACAGGTACCTGTATTTGGCCATCTTACCTCACTGCATCCCAGTATATCGATATCAAGTCTTTCCATTCCATGTATTGTTATTTGGGTCTTACCTTCCTTTTTTGATATTTAGATGTCAAAAAATTAGAAAGTTAATACTCTAATCACAAAAAAATCAAAATCTTGTGTTCAGCCCACTTATTCAGTATTATGTTCCTATTTATACATTTATAGGGTCAATAGGAATAGGTGAAAAGTGTATAAGGTGTAAAGTAACATACACATATAAATATAAAGTTTGTTTAATTGGAAAAATTTATTGTTGAAATGAAAAATACACTCTTAAGGTCGTCTAATATAAACACAAATCACTAAGATCATAGTTAAAACTAATTATATGTTTTTAAACCGAGACGAGATATTAACGTACATACATACAGACAACTGTCTTATAATATCATCGGGTTTTAAAAATACTTCCTCTTTAGCATCGGAAAATTTTAAAGCCTGGGGAACCTTCTTAAAAAAGATTTTTACCTAGCCTTCATCTTGATGATAGAGAACTTTATTAACGTACAGCCTGAAAGATTGCTTGGTCTTGGCATATACTATGACTACTAAGAAGTCTCCATGGTTAACGAAACTGTTCGTTTCTTCATCAGATGACAACACTAGCTCCTTGTTTGTCACTGTCTTCAAGGGAGTTTTCTGAAGCACTAGATTCTCGTTTTAGCTTTTTAGTGCGACTGGAAATTTCTTTTGAGGGATTCAGTTCTATATTCTGAACTTTTGATGGTCCTGCTTCAGGTTTAAACTCTTCTTCTTCTAAATCTGTCGCTACACTTTTGTCCGTTTCGACATTCAATTTTGTTTTCTTTTTCTTTTGTCTCTGAGTATCATACTGTCTTAATGTCTTCAAAAGTTCTTTAAAAGTGTCAATAATCCCTTTCACGCGAACAGAACCTGACAAGGTCGTTTGTGTTTCAGATTGTCTGGTATTATCATTGTTTGAGTTCGGCAGCATCCTTAGGACTTTGGTGGGATCTAAAGGCACGGTACCACATATTTTAAACCCTGATTTGGCATTTTCCTCTGAAAGACTATCACCCAATTTCTTTAATAGTCTAGGAAACTTGTCTTTAGCTACTATGGATTCATTCCTGTCTGGCCCTGTTTTCCATTCCTCAACTATTTTGAGCCACATAATCTACATGGGCCTGAAGAATGCCACATCGAAGTGCTGAGTAAGGTGAGTGGAATTACTTGGTAAAAATAAAAACTTGATGTTTTTTTCTTGGTACAATTAGATTAAATTGATTGACAAGTGAAACGACAAGTTGTCCCCAATCAAGTATTTTTTCCCTTCTAGGTCCTTGAAAAAGGGAATTGCAATGAACTGAATCCAGTTACTGAAACAAAAACTATCAAACCACCCTGACTTAGTACGATTAAAATGAGAGTTTTTCGGACCTCCCTCATTCTAACTGTCGTATAAATGTTGAGCCTTATATACAACATAAGGTGATAATATTTTACCCTCTCCACTAGCTGCAAACATGACAGAAGTAGACGCTTTTGATGAGTTGACAACTCATTCTGGGTACTAGCAGCTACGTCTAAAAATTAATTTATGTTTTCCTGGATAGTCACTAAGATTTGTTTCATCATAGTTGATGATGTGACTTAAGGGAATATCTTTAAGTACTCTTTCTAACTCGTCGAAATACTTATTCATTATCTCAAGGGACACAGCTTCCCTTGACCTTTTGATGTTCTGACACATTCTGTTTGAGAATGATTGTTTGTGTGGAGTAAGAAACGAATACACCCAATCCCGACCAGGGGTGTTGTTCTTGAACTTGAAAATAACTTTGCCCTGGCGCTTCAAATATTCTCATATAATTAACCGTAAGGTGAGAGAACGGCTAGTCTGTCAACGATAATTAACTTTTCATCTTTATAAACAGAGGATTGACCTCCTTTTTACTTTGTATTAACATTTTTTATACATCTGTGTAAGACCGTAGTAGGTATATTATGCTTAAGGGAACAATGCTTGTAACTAATACCTTCTTTTATTTCATTTATGGCTTCTTGTAGGTTTTGTCGTGTGTAGCATCTTTTCTTCACACTTGTCACAGCTTAATATTTTCGCAGCATATCTGCGAAAACCTGTAATCAAGTACTCATTACAATAAAAAAGTAAATTGAGCAGCCACTGACAAACACAAATATTCCTCTATGTGGGTATTAGATAAACAAAAGTAATTTCTAATGTGTGGGGTGAATGGGAACGCGATAAATATTATGTTCCTATTAACCTTTCATACCTCAATTTCAGGATGTAAATAATAAAACTTGTTTTTAACAAAAAGCGGTAACATATAAATCCAAATACAATCATGTTAGATTATTGTAAAGGTTGGAATACATAAAAAAAGAGTACTCGTAAATCTATTTTGACAGAGATTTTGTACTTATCGAGAAAGTTTTTATGATGAGAAATATCCTCAAAATTAATGACTTTTTTGCACGCCGAAAACATAGGACCAGTGACGCCAACAACACAAACCTAAATTTCCCAAAGCCATATCACATTAGCCAACCTGCAAAACTTAAATAGCCCAACGAAAATAATACACAGAGTGGCCCAAAAGTCTGGAAACGGCCAATTATCTCGTAAATTGCTAGTTATAATTGTACAAAATTTAAGGTACACCTATTTTGGGATACGGAGATTCCATATTTGATATTTGCAATGTTGCCAAATTTGCCGTTTCTCTGATATTATTAGTAACTTTGGTTTTTTAAATGCATCACCCTGTATATTAAGTCATTATTGGAATTTCCTATTCAATACGAGTTCAACCATATTATGATTTTATGAAGTCTGAAAGGTCTTAAATACATAAAACCCAAGTCTGGCAACGCCTAATTGTTTCAATAAATTTTTTAATACTAATTATTTTTAACTACATTAAAACGTAACAATTGATAGATTAGAACATTTTTTAACAATAGTTACGTTATTTAAGTGTTCAAAATGTGCTCAATTTATGAGTTGACAGTACCCTAATCGATGGTATAATGCGTCTACCACATTTCTCCATGATTGTCTAGAAATTATTTGAGATTAACCGATAATTCGTTGCCTTTGCTCTGCAAGACTTGGCTGGTTAAGTTTTGTAAACTGAATTTTTCAAGTATCCCTAATAAAAATAATCTTTAGGATTGAAATCGGGTGAACGTGGAGGCCATTCAATTCTACCTTGTCTACCAATTTATCGTACGGAAAATATCTCATTTAAATAACGCCGAACATTTACACCAACTATCTGACGTTAAATTTCCTTCGATAAAAAATGACCCAATTGACTAAGTACCTACTATACCTGATCATACATTTAATTTTTGTGGTCTGGTATGGTTTTCACGCGTTCAGTGTGAATTTCATACGAGTTCAACTATTTAATATCTACGAGTTCAAAAATATGTAACACTTATGATTGTATGTAGTCTGGAAGGTCTTAAATACATAAAACAGTGCAAAATATGTAGATTTTAATAAATTTAAATATTTAAATGTAGAATGCTGTGATATTGACATTTGGTCACGATTTACATTATAAACTAAAACTGACAGTAGTTGTGTTTCGAAAAGTTCTGTAATTTAAATTGCTTCTCCAAAATGCCGTTCTCTAAACCGTTCTCCTATTCATAAGGCGACGGTACAGAAAACTGTAAAGCGATTTGAGAAATCTGAAGAAGGTAAAGACAGATGGAAAGAGAAAAGTTTTGTTGAAGATCCACATACATCCTCAGGCAGGGTTGCGCAAGTACATGATGTAGGTCGTTCTTCAGTCTTACGTATATTACGTAAAAATAAGTTTAAACCATACAAAATAAACTTATTGCAAGAATTAGGTGAAGATGACTTCGATCTTAGATTAGAGTTTACTGAGGTAATGATGGATAAAATTGAAAATTATTAAAATTTCATTAACAGAATATGTTTTCCGATGAAGCAATTTTTACACTGTGTGGAAGTGTAAATCGACACAATTTAAGGTACTGGAGTGACGCAAATTCACACTGAATGCGTGAAAACGATACTCAAAGACCACAAAAATTAAATGTATCGTCAGGTATAGTAGGTACCTAGTCAATTGGGACATTTTTTATCGAAAAAAATATAACATCAGATAGTTGGTGTAAATGTTCGGCGTTATTTAGATGAGATATTTCCCGGACGATAAATTGGTAGACAAGGTAAAATTAAATGGCCTTCACGTTCACCCGATTTCAATCATAAAGATTATTTTTATTAGGATACTTGAAAAATTCAGTTTACAAAACGTAACCAGCAAGTCTTGCAGAGCTAAGGCAATGAATTATCGATGAATCTCGAATTATTTCTAGACCATCATGGAGAAATGTGATAGACGCATTCTACCATCGATTAGGGTAATGTCAACTCATAAATTGAGCACATTTTGAACACTTAATAACGTAACTATTGTTAAAAAATGTTCTAATCTATCAATTGTTTAGTTTTAATGTAGTTAAAAATAATTAGTATTAAAAAAATTATTGAAACAATTAGGCGTTGCCAGACTTGGGTTTTATGTATTTAAGACCTTTCAGACTACATAAAATCATAAGTGTTACATATGGTTGAACTCGTATTGAATAGGAGATTCCAATAACGACTAAATATACAGGATGATGCATTAAAAAACCAAAGTTACTAATAATATAAGAGAAACGGAAAATCTGGCAACATTGCAAATATCAAATATGGAATCTCCGTATCCCAACATAGGTGTACTTCAAATTTTGTACAATTATAACTAGCAATTTACGAAATAATTGGCCGCTTCCAGACTTTTGGGCCAATCTGTATATGTTTGGGAAGATTATTGTTATTATTTAGTGAAGTTTTGTTTCTATTCACCCCATTGTTTCTATTCAGCCCATTTTACAGTAGTTAAATATTTAAACTGTGAAAGTTTTTAATGCCATATAACAGAATTGAAGCTCTAATAATTTCTTCCTACATTTTATTTTTATTCCATAACATCTGTACCTACTGATAAACAAGAGAATATTCTTGTATTTCCTAGTTTCACAACAAATACACAATATTCTAATTATTATTTATTTTATCCTTCTGAAAAAAAAAAACAGTTGTTCCAAATGATAAAATCTCACAGTCCATTTGTAATAAAAATTTAACATACTATCTAACTATTTATTTATCTGTAGCATTAGGGTTTGTATAGCTGAAGCCTTGGAACTGAGATTGGTCGATGGTCTCTAAAATTTGTACTTCTGTTATTGGCGTTATTTTCACAGCTTCCTTTGTAAAATTCGTGTCGAAGTACTGTGTATCTAACGGATGCCTCTGAAATAAACAAAAGGAAAATTATTGTACATTTTCAATCACTTTTCGTAAAAATACTTTGTCATTTTTATCAATCTAATTATTCGAGTTAGAGAACTCCTCCTGCAGTTTTTGTGGGTGGATCAAGTAGCTCGACAAAGCTGTTGCTATTCCCAAGCCTAGATAAAGTCAATAAAAAAGTAAATTGAGCAGCCACTGACAAAAACAAATATTCCTATATGTAGGTATTAGATAAACAAAAGTTAAGGAGGAGGAGGTTGGATATCGGAGGAGGGAGTCTACAGCCAGATTAGCACCCTTCTGATATACTTTAAAACCATACAGCTCATACCAACAAGATTATGCGAGAAAGAGGACAAAGAATTTATGGAAAAAGTCTCTAGAGCAGAAAATTACAAAAGAGCTTGTAGAAAAAAATATAGACTATATAATATGTACACTACAAGAGACGAAGAAAAAAGGAAAGGATCAAATTATGCTAGATGACTATCTTATGATTTACAGTGGTGTTGCGAAAGAACTCACAGCTAAAGAAGGAATCGCCCACTTATTACACAAACAATTTTTACATCAAGTCCAAGAATGTAAATATACCCCCCAAAAGAATAGTAAATGTAAAAGTTAAACTGGATGTCAAACCTCTGAATGTGATAGCAATCACATTCAGACTGTAATAAACGAGACCCTTAAAAATGAACAGTAGAGGACAAAGATCTATGATAGACTATACGCTGTCGAATAGATAGTTACAGTCCTATCAAATCTTGGATATAAGAGCACTAAGATCAGCAGAAATAGGAAGTGATCATAAATTGGTATTGTGCAAAATCCGAGTTAAAACACATATATGTGATAACAAAACACCAGAATATACCACAAAGATAAAATTTGAAAGCTTACATACCTATCCCAAAAAAAAAGCAGATCACAGAAAGTGATGGAGTTAAAGAAAGCTGGGCAAAAATTAAAAAAGAAATATAAATAAAAATAAATCATTTCCAAGGCGAAGAACTCCATGGTTTTGTACAGAAGTGAAGGAAAAATGTAAAGACAAGAAAAAAGCTTACCTGAAATACATGTCAACCAAAACACAAGAGGCATGCCATAATTACAAGACAATTAGAAACAAAAGATATGCACTTGTAAGAAAAATAAAAAAATTATCACTAGAAACCCTTTTCCAAAGAAATGGAATATGATTTTTACCGGAAAAATTAAGAACGAGTTAAATAATTCTACTATTCAAAAAAGGAGATAAAAAAACAGCCAAAAAACCACAAAAGTATAAACTTGTTGAATACTACAATAAGTGCTAATGAATCACAGGATAATTTAAGCAGATCAACAACAGGGTTTTCGTAGTGGAAGATCGTGGACAGATGCATTATTCATTATAAAACAAATTACTGAGAAATCACTAGACTATGATAGAACAGCATTTTTGTATCAGATTGACCTAAAGAAAGCGTTTTTAACAGAATAAGGCTCAACGATGTAACTCATTTTCTGTATAATAGAGAAGTTCTCCTAAATATTATAAAAACCCCATACAGAACCTATAGAAATAGGCAGCAAAATAAGACAAGGAGATTCATTGAGCCTCATGCTCTTTAATTTGATCGTGGATGAAATCATCAAAAGAGTTAACAAAGAAAGAGGATACAGAATGGGAAACAAAGAAATAAAAATACTCTGTTACGCACACGACTTTGATTGATTGATGGCATCAGTATTGAACAAGTAATGTACATAAAATACCTGAGCATTACACTGAGTAGCTATGAAGATCTGAACAAAGAAGTGACTGATTAAGTACAAAACGCAAATAGACTGGCAGGATGCTGCAACGCAAAGGTTACTGGAAACCGCAAAGATGAGATTACTAAGAAGAATTACAGAAAATAGCCGAGAGATCGAAAGAGAAGTGAAAACATTAGAAGACAATGTAACGTACAGTGTATAAATGAATGGATACAAAATAGAAAAAAGGAATGAAATAACCACATAAGCAGAATGGAGGAGACCCGTGTTGTCAAAATAGGAAGAGATAAGTTACCAATCGGCAGAAGAAGTATTGGACAATCGCGCAAAAGGTGGAGTAACAACCTTCCATACAGGTATTAATCCGCCAATGAACAAGCAGAATTGCTTATAAAGAGGATGAAGAAGAAGAGCAATATATAATGTCGCTATTCCTATATGATTTGTCTCATTATGATGTATTTTCTTTTTACTGCTTTCTTCTTCTCCATTACTAGTGTTATTCCGTTAATACTAATAACTATTATAATTCTTTCCTATCTTCATTACTATTGCTCATTACCAATATTCCTCCACCCATAATATTGCCCCTACTGTTAGTACGAATAATACCCATATTCCCATCATAAGTCATATTATTAATACAGTATTTATGATTTATATTCCTAATTCTATTCTTATTACTACTTAAAATTAAACATTTATTATTATCGTCCGGCTTATTTAGAAATTCTTTTTCCTCTATTCGTTGTATGGCCTCTGCTGTGTTCTTTTTATGCGGCTCTAGTAGTTTTTTGAACTCGCTATTTCCACCACTTTTTCTTCTTTCTGGCACCCTCTCCATTTCTTGCCGTCTGCTGTGATTTTATTGTATCCTATTTTGACCATTTTTCCTCATATCTCTTGTTTTATCTCTTAAAGCTTTCATTTTTTCGTATTTCTAGTACTTTTTAACAATATTTATAATCTGATTTTTATCGCTTATGGTGATTCCATTTTTGTCTTTTATCTGGTTAATTTGTTTTTGGCCTTTGCTATTATTTAGAGTTTTCACTTCATGCTCTTGGTTTCCTCTATAATCTTTTTGATCTGTTCGGTATTGTTGTCCCTGATGTCGCGTCTTTTTATTTATCTTATTGCCTTATAAAATGCCATATATTCTAGTGACATTTCTATCCAACACAGCTTCCGTCTTTTCAGTTCATACAACCATTCTTTCTCTTATCGTTTTGCCCAAAAGAAACTTTTTCCACTTAGCTACCGTATTTTGTGCTGCATAAACGTTAGTAATTATTTCAAAAGCTACTTACCAAATTTGGTTTGAAGGGTGGTTCCAGCTGTCGTGCTTCCAAAGCATTCCAATCTAAGTGTCGGAAGAAATTGTGATCTCTAATAAGACCATGTGGACTGAATCTAGTTCCTAGTCGCTTCGACTGATCTTTTTCTAATAACTGAAATAATAAAGAATAACATAATAAACAACGAAGAAAATAAAAAGATAAAACAATGTAAATGGACAATTTTTAAACCAATGAACAAACAAAAATGAGGATTTTAAACAATTTACATATACCAGGAATAAAAAACGTATTGATATCGATCCCTGAGGATCATCTGTCTCAACTGGCAGCAATTGTGAACTTTCAGACGACATTTATTTCTGAAATATCGTTTTTGTAATAATCTTACATAGTGGCTTCTATTTGGCGTAGTGAAATAAGTAGAGATCTAAGATAATCTGGAATTTTTTATTTCATATTCTCTTAATGAAGTTGTTAATACGGAATAATTAACCGAGTCAAATACACCACTGAGATCACAGAAAAATGCTATATGACACCCTTCCTCTGTATTCAACTTGTAGGTCGAGTATTTTACTAGAGAATGAATGCTGTTATTATGGTAGACTTTCAAACCGAAATCCATGCTGGTTGTTTGAAAGAATCGAAAATTGATCCATTTTCAAACGCTTATCAATACAATATTTGCCACAAAGTTTACAGTATTACCACCAATATCTAAGCCACAATAATTTGCCGCTAAATAAAAACCAGGTATACGGGAATTACGAAAAGGTATCAAAAAAATTATTATTCGCTCCGTGCGTGACTGACGCGACACCTACCGCCTTCATCTGACAATTTTGGAGTCCCAATTTTCAGGTTAAACATATGACATATGTTTGACATTGTTAAATACATGCGAAATTGACAATTATTAATAAATTAGTTTTTTAACTATATTTTTTTAGTTTATGTACAAAATAAATGTAGTATTAAAAACTGGGTTTCTCTAAATTCATCATAATATATCTTTTCAACTCCAAATGGAAAAGAAAGGGAAAAATCTAGTACTGGCAAATCAAGTTTTTCGCGCAAAAGAGCATATAATTAAAAACAATAATAGTAAAAGTTATGATATAAAAGCTAAAGTCATCTGCAGTTAGCTTGAAGCCTTATGAAATACCATTCAAAGTAAATTATTTAAATTTTTCCTATTTCAATTGCATAAAAATGAATTTATGTGATATTTACTTTTTCATATTAATAGCACGAATTCATCTTTTTCTTTTCTCTAATTTCTAAGTAATCTTTGGGAACCTATAAAAACTACACTCACTGTTTTTGCTATTATTAGCACAATTAAATACGCAACATGTATTTGCACACATTTTTGATAAAATTTATGCGTAAAATATTTTGTCCAATATTCCAATTTTGTCATATTTCGCCACTATGCACGCTGGCATCGTTTTAATGTATCCCTACCAGAGAACTACGAACGCAGAGAAGCGACACTCCTTTGATGTTGCGTGGGCAAGCCGCCAACGAGTGAAAATGACAGGAAAGCACCTTATTTTTTAATAGTCAGTGGGCATATTACACAATATAAATTCTTAAATAAAATTGAGCATTTATGTTGACTTTCAATAAATATGAAATATTGCACTGAAAAAATAATTACATGCAGTGCCGGCTTTTTTGACATTCTAAATGGTGTAATTATTTTTGATTTACAAAAGGTTGCAAATACATCGCACAACGCAAAGTAATGGTGAAAATCGTATTGATGGAACCATAGATGAAAATACTTTTTTGTTTATTCTGATGTTGACGTTGATAATACAATAATACACCGATTCTTTTTGGCTTGTGTTGATACAAGATATAATTTGTTCGTCGTGGAATTTCCTAATAAATTATCTTTCGTAATATAATCGAAAAATAACAAAGCCATTGTAACTGCCACGGAAATTTAACAAACTCTAAAAATTCCAATTCTCTTTGGGTGAGACTGAGAAACAAGAAACTTTATATTGATATCGATTGTTAATGTCTTGGAAACCAATTAAAATTACATTTTTCCTTTAAAGTCGAATATTGGAGTAAACGATATTCGACTAAAACGAATAAAAAATCAAGAAGTAACTATTGTACGAGTATATTTCTATAAATATAAAAATGTAATAACCTAAGAAATAATCAAAAAAGTATTACGAATCATTACAAGAGAGCATTAGGAAGATAAAACGAATTTATATTATTGTCATTACACATGATTCGGATATACATAGTAAATCCAGACTTTCAGTTTACTGCGTCATGCACCAATGTTTTTCTTTTATTTTTTTTTTTTTGACAATAAGATTATCTTCACAATGTAGTTCACAAATCCTATAACTATTATAAAGTATATCCATTTTTAACAATAAATCTTCTCGTCTGCAAGCTTCTATCCACATTTTGGCACTACAAATTTTTAACAGAACAAATTTTAAACAAAGAATTTTTTGTATTTATAAATAATACTTCATTACTTACAACTATAAGAGTATTAGTATATTCTAAGTGTATTGTAAGTAATGAAGTATTTAACTTTTGTCAATATCTCATCTTAATAAATTTACAGTTTTCTCCTAATTAAGTCTCAAAATTGTCACTAAATATTTATTGTCACTATACAATAAATAAAGTTTTAATATTTTTTATTTGTAATTCCCATTTAAATATTTATTCCCTAAATATGTTGTGTACTCTGATCCATATATTTGATCTTTGTTATTTATATTTAACGAATTAAACATTGACAGACAACTTTTATATATAGCAAAAAGTAGATGAGCACTTAGTTTTTTCATAATTTAATGTAAGTTTGTTTGGTGAAAAAGACAGCAAATATTTGAAGTTATGTTAATGTAAGTTTGTTTATTTGCAATCATGTTTTTATTTTGAAGTCTTGTTCTGTTATAATTTTGAAATTTTCCCAATTTTCGATCTAATTATGTTTCCAACAATTTTTAGTTTGAGCATTTTAGGAATTTCTTTGTTTCGTTTAAATCAAATATTCTCGTGTATAAAACCCTCTATATATTTTTATTTCCTAAAAATACTATATTCGTATTGTTGTCTGCGAGCGCTTTCACACCAGTAGGCCAACATCTGTGTTGATTTTTTGACCTGAGCCTTCGGAGACAATAAATTTAATGTGTGTTCGTAGTTCTCTGGTTTTTATTCTGAAATATCCCTTGGCAAACCAAAATTTATTTTTTTATTGCTTCACTTAACGAGAACTCGGGCGGACACGTCGGTGTCGGCTTACTCAAAGTCAAATTAATACTATTATGTAATAACTAATAATAATTACAAAGCAACAGTAATTACCTGTTATTATTCTTAGGAAATCTAAATAAACTTATTCCTTTTCCTGTCACAGATGAACATCCGCGAAACGCACAACAATAACCAGAAGACATTTTAAATACTTATAAATTAAACTTTTAACTATAAACTATAACTATAAACTTATATATTTTAACTATAACTATAAACTATAACTATAAACTATAACTATAAACTTTTAACTACTAAATAATTAGATAAATGGTCAAATGCACTTGTATAGTCGAGAGTTTACCACAGATGCCTACGGACTATCGTAAGCAACTTAAAGTTGAAGAAAACGCACGTGTTTTTAACAGTAAAGCACCTTATTTGGGTCATGCGTATACAGAAAAGATACACGAATTCCGGGCCTCGTGTCGCTTCTCTGTGTTCGTATTTTCTCTGTCCCTACCATGGTCACGCACGGAGCGAATAAGGGTTTGGAGACACAACACTTGTCAAACTGCATACTGGCTTAGAGGAAAATGAAAATAAATCAAGAAATATTCCTTTTTATGGAAAGAAATAATCAAAGAGGGGGATAAAGTTCTTTGAGTGTGGTCTCAAATCAGACGAAAACGATAGGGTATTTCATAACGGCATATTTTTCGATCAAATTTCTAAAGAATATCTACTATATTTGTAAATAAACAGAAACTACCGACAACTATAACGGGACTTATCAAATCAAACCGCAGGAAAGGTTATTATATCGAACTCCTGTTTTGTATAGAGGATTTACAAAACAATCATAAAATACAGAATATTTTAGTTACATCTTCGACAGAACTTCTAAAGAATTATTAAAGAATGTTATTTTAGTAAGTCAGCGTTTCTCAACCTTTTACTAGTTGCGACCCAATTTTATATAATTATTTTCACCGCGCCCCCCCCCCTCATACAATAAAAATATATGAATCCAGGACCGATTTACAGGGGGGTGGGGCGTGATACAAGAACTTTTTTCGGTGGTATCACTTTTAGTGCCATAAAGACAATCAAACCTTATAAAGTATATTTATTTGTCAAATTTTTTACCCAGTCTCTCTGGATCCGCCCTTGCACTGAACTTACAGTAAAACCTTAATTACCAAATTACCGAGAATAAGTAAGTTTATTGATATGTGGCAACACCAATTTAAAACCGATCGTCTCTATTTGCGAGAAGTTTCGAGTTCAATTCTCTCCTCCTCAGACCCAGACAGTCAGTTTAGTCAGTCTAGTCAGTCCTTCTGCACCTGTTAAATTTATTGTGAATGTTTATGTTGTAGTTTGCGTGTATTAATTGCAGTTCACGGTATTAAAATATTCCAAGTAGTAGGTAAACATACTTAAATTTATACAAAATCATGGATAAATTTTTAACTGGGCGTAAGCGAGCACTCGATACTAATGAAGCATCAACAAGTGTACAGGCGAGAGTAATTCCAAAAATAAAATCAAGAAAATATTCTCAAGATTACTTAAATTTTGGGTTTACGTTTACTGAAGTAAATAAAGAAGAACGGCCTCTATGTATCATTTGCTCAAAAATTTTAGTAGCCGACAGTATGAAACCAAATAAACTTAAAAGACATTTGGAAACGCTTCATAGTGAGTGCATTAATCAACCCCGAGAATTCTTCGAGTTAAAATTAAAATCAAATGAAAAACAAAAATCTTTTTTAAAAAAACTTTGACTGTGAATAAAAAAGCTTTACTTGCCTCTTATAAAACCTCCCATCAAATAGCTAGATGTAAAAAGCCTCACACTATTAGTGAAAAGCTTATTTTGCCAGCTGCAATTCAAA